TACTTTGTCTATATTAAGCCAATCAGATAATATTAAAATGATCACATTTTTTAGAATTACTACTATGGATTAAATTTTGTTATCTTAGTTATTTCCACAATTAAAAGCGAAAGCTAAATTTTGTCTAGTGTGCGCAATGGAATTGCTACAACAATAGTAATTGTGTGTGATAAACTAATAATTTTCGCAATCCTCATTGTATCAATATAGACAGGATTTGTTACAGAGCGCAGCGGCGCGGTTCGTCTGCACATTGCTGGATAGCGCTTTGCGCCAATGAATAGCGCTAACACTGTTAAAATTACCTGTATTATATAGGTATATATAGAGTCACTGGGGAAGGAACGGGTAGCTGTTCTAGACCTTTTTGGTAATCCCTTAAATACACCAGTAGAGTCAAGGCCAACCTAGAATATTCTAGATGTGGTATCGGCCCCTATTAATACGCGATGGACTGCCCGTCCCGGGATAACTAAAGCAGTGAACGATCTAATAATGTTCTGAAGTGTTATTAGTGAAGATGAAATGAGAATTTTGAAGTTGGATTATTTTTGTAATTTTATAGTGTTAAATAAAGTCGGATTGTGAACTTGATTGGTATTAATTTTTATCCCGAACCCTAAGTTGTAAAAATACTTTAACCTGGACAACTGATTCGAGTTTCAAAGTGATGCCAGTGTGATCTTAGAATCACTAACGAACTTTTCTATATTGTCTCAGTATGTCTTTTATGTTACTTTCGTTGTTTGGGAACATAATGTATATACAAGTGCTTTAGCTTCTTAATTTGGAACCTGAGCAATTCTCCTAAGGTTGTCTCATAATTATTATTGATTTATTCTCATTATTTTATCCACATCTTATACCCAATGTTTACCATTATCCATACTTACCTATACATTATCTCTTGATCTAACTTTAATAGCTTAACCCTGAGTTTAAGAGCTCTTAAATCTACCCTTGTCTAGCTGGTGACATGGTGGTCAACCTCCGTATCGACAGTAAAGTTGCTATAAAACTCAAGTGTACATAAAATAGGTATATAAGTTGGATGGCAACTAGAATGCTTCCGCCTGGGATCAATGGCGACTGACGTTGAAATGTTTATGTATTGTTGCGAGAAGGAATGTTATAGAATATTAGCGTTAAATTTTACTTATGGATACTACACTATGATTATAATGGACTGTTACAGATAAATCTTACGTCTGGGTATCAGAGGTTAGAATCAACTTAAAATATATTAAAATTTGTCATGCGGTATTTTCTTTCTTCTTTTGGGAATAACAAAGTTATGATAAAGGATTTTAAAACATGTAAACATTATCAGACATGGCTGTTTCTTAGTGCAAATTTTAAACTGTTTCATCGCGTTTGTATTTAGTTTTATGTACGTTTCGGACCCTTTAAACCTTAGTTTTATGTGAACCCGGAACTTGTAAAAGGTCCAAATCATCAAGAAATCGAAATACAAAGACGATGAAACCATTTAAAAGTTGTTTTATTAATGGACAGTGAACGTGAAAATATATGAAATCAATTATCTCCATTTGTTAATCCTGTCGCAGCTTTTTGTTTCCTCAAACTCAATGACATTGAAAGCCTTCGAGTTTGATGTTCAAAGTTACTTTTGAGTTCAAAAACTATGCTTTTAATTCCCTAATAAAGTGGCGGTGCTAAAGATGAACTACTGTTTTAAATCGGACGTGTCTCTAAAACTTACTTAAAAACGTGTAAATGTAGCCCTCTGGTCAAATGACCAAAAGAAACCAATCCGTATAGCTATACTAATATTATAAAATAAAAACTTTTTCACATTCGGGAAACTACATCATATACGAGTGATATATCCTATAATTCACGTGGATGAACTTACGGCAAAACAGCTGTTTAAATGTATTGTAGAAGATTTTTAGTACTTGAGCTTTCTAAAGCAGTGGGTATTCTAACACGAACAATAGTATCAAACACAAAATACCAGTTAATAATATGGCGGAAACAACAACTTGAGACGACCTTTGCACCGTAATTCAATTTGTGCTAGTTTTACGAGCGCAGTAAACCACATGGAGAAAGATCACCCATCTGATCTCAACGACCAGCAACCATATTCAGCTCATGGACAACAAACCGTTTCTATTTAATGATTGATGGAATGAAAATGGCATATGATATATAGCTACTGTAACTGTAATTAATGTTTTAAAGAATACTTCTAAGATAAATATCAATTTAATGCTAAATAATATAGCTTATAAGTTTTTTGGACGTTTTCAGAAGAAATGAGGTCAGAAAATGCTAGACGATTCAAAGATAACTCGAAGATTCAATCAGAGTATCTGATTATAGATTGTTGAATTAAGAAAACCTACCCCAAAATAATAGAAATATGAAAGAATATTTAAAATTGTTGTAATCAAGAAAGCTTATAATGAGATATCTAAATTTAACAGAAAAGAGTTGGACTTAAGCTTACAATAGTTTTCCAAATATTGCAACCACTTCAAAAGGTCGGAAAAACATATTATACTTGTAATATCGTAATGTAACTTAGGCTATATATTTTCATTGTCATCGTCATAAGTAGCCTATTTATCCTGCTGCTTCTTTCTTTATGGATGGAATCAAACCAAGTAGAGGGAATACTACGCGAGCTCAGTTGGTAAATGTTAACTGTCTAGTGACTGCAGATGCAACAGGAATCAACAGCTAAACGTTCCATAGCGCGGGGGAAATCAAGACAGTAATTTTTTTAAATATGCGATTTCGCTTATTTTAAACTTTTATTTAACTTACCACGTTACATCACCAGCATATTAATGTCCTACCCTATGGATGGAATCGAGTAGGGAGAATGGAGCATGTCCTACCATACGGGTCAGAGTGGATTGGTGGATATTAACGACGACCGGCTTAACGTACCTTCTGAAGCACGGAGGGCCTCGAGTAAATAAATTTTTGGTCACTCATCCCATTACCGGCCATTTCAAAAGTTGATTAAAAACTGTGTCGTAGACCAAGCGCGCTAACAGCTGCGCCATCGTACACCTTGTTAGTGTGGGTTAAATCTCGAAAACTACATTTGATCCACTTCCCTCGTATTAATTGAACTGAGTTTGCATCTAGATATAACTTAGATGATAACGCAATGTTACTATAAAATGGAGTTAATCTAATGTTAAAGCTGCAAGGTAGCCATGGGACCGCTGTAATTAAACAAAGTACTAGTAGTAGGTCAAATAACTTCTCATAAATCAAACCAGAATTAGCATGGACCTTATTATGGCCCCCGTCAAGAAAGCAATACTGCTCTTGAGTTGATTGAAAAGATCCCAATACTTGATACTATAAAATCTAACAATAGTCAAGCACTATCTTGTAAGCTTATTTCTCCAAGCAGTCTAGCTTTATAGCGAGGACCGATGACAAAAGAAGTAAAATTTTATTACAATGCCCAGACAGCGCACAGGATGAAACATTGTCCGAAAGTCCGAAACCAAGCGTTTCTTCATGACATTTTTAAAGTCGCAAATAATACAAAAAAATATAAAAGTACTTCGTACTTCTTTGTAGAGTATAAAGATTCCTTGAGGCGACAGACCGCTAGGATAATATTGAGAGTTGATTGTGTCGGTAACAGTATACGAGAAGCTCGATAGTGCAGTGGTTAGTGCATATGATTTAGGAATGCGGAGGTTAGGTTACTTTCGCGTGTAAAGGTTTAATATGCGGATAAATGAAATAAATTTCATTGTACAAAATTAAAATATTATAATACTTCCTGAATATCCGAATTATAGAGGTGTCAGTTAACGCAAGTTAAAAATTCTGTTGTAGTACTAATTCGAAATTACTTTTAATTATAAATATAACTAACAATAATATATATAATTGAGATCCCAAATTAAGTAACAGCCGTTAAAACCTTTCAGTCTGTATAAACCTTTGGCCGCCTAAGCTTTTAAATTACATAATGCACTTTTAAACTAACCAACTTATATTTAGTACTTATACAAATAGATGCAGCCCAATTTTTTTTCCTTGGTATATATTTTATTGGAGTACCTTATACCGTCTGAATCAGAGGAGAGCTCTAATTTGTCTTACGAAAAACAGAACATAAAAGAACTATTAAAAAAGACCCACTGTTTGAACAATCGACTAGGTGATTTATATTATAGTATGAGTAAGATACCTGATTCTATTTTTATGATGTAAATTATTTAATTGGGATTTAATGCGAAAGTCTATGTATATAGATACTGAACAGATTTTGATGAAAATCGGTTAACGGTTAATTCTAAGTCTGAATTAACATATAGAGAAGGCTTAACCCCAGCAGTGGGGAGTTGACTGGTGATGATTATGCGAAATTAAGACTAATATAACTCAAAAGCAAAACTAAACTCATATGAAAAAATATACTAATTAATTAATTGTTTAAAACCAAAACAAGAGCTCTTCAAAGTACTTATGATACAAACAGTAATAAAATTAAAGGATAAAAACCCTCCGTATCATAAAAAGTGGTTAATAGTTGATTCGGCGGCCATTAATATTATTAATACGGATGCGAAGCCGTATTCATAAAGTTGGAATCATAAAGTTGAACAAACGAGAGAGGCGGGATACTTTTTACCGCCCGAACTCCCATAAAAACGCAAAGCCCTGAATTAGCTCGATTCTTTGTCACCCCTTTCTGAACAACCCTAAAATTTCTACTACCTCACTACCACCGTCTTTGTCTAACAATAACCACTACATTCCCATCCGTTAAACTGCATCATGGAAAAACAACGTGAAACCGCCCGAGATGAAACGAGATAGAGTAATGTATATGCACTAATAGATATGACAGAGAGCGGCATACGTAGTAGTAGCCACGGATATTCTGCGACGTGGGAAAGAGAGCGCCCAGTACCCTTGCGTTAGAGCGAGTGAGGTGTAAAAATTAACCAAACGGAGGGGAGAGGAGCAGAGCTTCTTCAAGCGGGGTGGTTAGTCCGCTTGCGACCGCATTGGCGGCAACGTCGGCTCCGACCAACCGTCTGATAAGACAGTTCGGAATAGTGATATTTTTTTAGTCTTGTGCTTTTACGTATCGGAAACCGATAGTGTTGGTAAAATCAGTTGTTACGTATATGTGATAGGTACAGACGTTCATATCGACATTTTAAACTTTACTACGTTATGTTATCGTGACAAATATTAAAACCAGGACATTACATTTCGGGAGAAGTTATCATGACTTGTAACTCGTTTGGATTTATGTGCTGCTTATGATAAGCGGGAAGCTACTACCAAAACTTGTATTACAAAAGGATAGATACCAAAGAAAATGTGTGCCAAAATGTTGTTGTATAGTTTGTCCATGTTCTCTGCGATCATATCATGGATTGGAGTGGTAGCTGAGGTGGAAGTTTCTTCACCACTAAGAGTGGCACAATGTAGAGCAACATGTTTGCAAAAGGTAAGAATATAATTTTATTGTTCATAGTAATTGATACTCTGACCTTATAACTCGTCATAATTCATCAATAAATTTTAGAAAGTATACTCTAATATCATGAAAATGATCTTACAATCCTTTTGAATTCAATTCGTGCTCATATATCTGCTTTAAGTCGAATTGTAAACACGCATAGATGTTTATTGTTACTTACTAATAAAGAATCAACTACACCAAAACTACTTGTAGCTACGTTACAAACTGAAAATGTTTGTGATCAATCGCAAGTCCTACAAATTATCTCATCAAATTATCTTAAAGATGGAGTGATGCTATGCATTCATGCTAATGCTATTCAAAGATATGCATGCTTATTTAATCATAGAATAATGATGTCAAAGGATACTAATGAAATTGTGACAATACAATCAAACGGAGCAATATCGATGTCTTTGAATGGGTCAAAAAACAAATTGATAACTGTCAGTTGAACTCTAATTGAACCTTTACGTGTTCGGTAACTGAAACATTCGAGTGAGCCACCGTAATTAACGAAGAATGTCAATCGTAAACACATCCATGGCGTACATAATTTATGAAGCTTTATATTCATTTGCCCCTCAATCAATCACGCGGACTATTCGGACATTTGTTCCCGACAGTTTACGTAAATAGGGAATTCAATTGCATTTGACTGCATGTGACATTTTGGTGTTTTTGTATTATTTTATTGTCCTTTTCTAAAGCACCAACTCAATAGCGCAATATTACAAACTTACAACAAGTATTTAATGTTTGTATCATCGTTTATTATCATTTAATTCGTCAGAAATTTTGAATATACCAATTTTTTTCCCAGAGTATGCAGATATTTTGGTTGTTCTAGTTTATAATATATACATCAAACTTTCGTTACAAAATGCTGGAATAATTCGTACTGTATTAAATCTAAATAAAACGTCACTGGCAAAATTATGAATTTTCATCAGGAAATAAATGTTGCTTGTGTTTGGGTGTGCTACAATATTGGAAATGAGTTCTGTATCGCCTGTAAACATACGATTAATAATGTTGAAATATATTGCCGTAATCTTTAAACAAATAAGGATAGAAAGAGACTTCTTTGGTTAATAAATGTTTGGACTTCGGTAAAAAGATAAATGTTTATTGAGGATCATATTGTAAACTATAAAGTTTAAGTGAATTGTTATAATGTTAAATATAAATACTCTTAAATTAAATGATAGTGAAATAAACATTTTTGAAAGTCACTATAGAATGTTATTACTCAATAAAAATTATAACAATTAAGAAATATTTTCAATGAAGATTACGGCAATATTTATTTATAATAGTATTACCTATACATTAGCTAACAAAATTTATTACCGGATTCCCGAATTCCAGATAGGGCATTGTAATTTTTTTTTATCGTCACGTGTTACTGATACCCAAAATGGCCAATACTCACTGTGGTAGACGAAAAAAAAAGTCGGATCTGCAAAATATCCGTAATACCTAGTGGATTTCATTTGACAGAACGTGAATTTAATGGCTAGGGGTCTATTAGATCTCTATCTTAGTAATTGTGGGATAGAGTGCTTGAGCGATTTACTTACAACCAGATTAAAATTTGATAAATACTCGAATAAAATTATTTATCAAATTCGATAACTAACGTGGAACTTATGTAAATCTTCATAACAGAATACTATAGAAATTCAAGAGATATATTCAATTTCGAATTAAGTATTAGGAGTTTTACTTGATAAAATATTGTTTAAAATTTACACAAGCTTGGATAAATGGGAAAATCAGGAGCGGTTTGTTATTTTGGATATTATTTTTGTCTATATAAAGAAATTTCTATAACATTCAATATTTTGTCATAAGATCATTATATTAGTATATGCATAGAAGTTATGTTAATTAGATAATTTTTATTTTTCGATAATTTTCATACCAATTTCTTAAAAATGTAGAAGGCCTGTTTGATAGAAATTTTCCTAAGATTGAAGTAATCTCTGATACCACTTAAAAGCATTTGTTCATGTTATAAATGTTTAACGAGGCTTTAAATACGATAAGTGCAATCTATATCGTGAAATATTTACAGATGAGAGTTATCTGAACTGGTTGTGCTATTTATTTGTACCATTCCCAACAGGTTGCTATGTTGCCCGCTGGTTATCTGAATCGAAGTAGAATCAATAACAGATCAAGTTTATGGATGCATTAGGAACCTTACAATCATAGATTTTTAATAATTATAAATCCAGTTATAAAAAAAAAAGTTATTGTAACTCCATGTGAATTTGCAATTACATGTAATATAATTTTTGTATTTGTCCTGACTTTTATTTGTATACTTCTGACTTTATAAAGTTCACGATAAAGATATTATTATTTAGATATTCTTATGTTATTTAGATATATAATGGTTTAATTTTTACCTTTTTTCCTATACGGTCATTATTATATTAATTAGATTGTTTGTATCTTTGTGTAATTTTGATTTGGCCCTTATTTTTTGTTAATCCAAAACAATGTGACTATTTATGAGTGGATATAATATTCTTACGATTAACAATAAAGCTTTAAAATATCAGATTACACAGTGCTCTCAAAGTTATATCTCACTAAGTTTATACGGCAGTTAAAATGCCTTGAATTCAATTTCAATGGTATCATAAATTGGCAGGAGCCATAAAAGCCTTGGTTATCGGCTCTGTATGTATCAAAAACGTAAAAGTACCTTTAATCGAAACTTTTATTAAAGTCAGTACTGATATAACGAAGCATGATTTTAAACTCTCATTTGCAGATTTTAGCTGTTATATTAATAACCTTAACATTTGATTTAAATATTTACCGTCTTATCATAAAACGACGAATACTGTACACCGTACACAATACGAATTGTAACACCAAGTGCAAACCATTATAATAAGTCTTAGTATGACGTTTCTCTTATGTCACTTTAATTTATGTTAGTCGGCCTATGAATATATATACATATATATATTTTATTATATATATGTATATATATTCAAAGTCAAAATAATCTTGATTCAAAAGACTTTTGTATCGTTCGACATTTTTTCCCTTACTACTCGTTCAGGGCGTCTTTTGGCTGATAAGAAGAACGAGCAAGAAACTCGGCTTTATTGAAAGTAACGACATTCACAAAACCATGTCATTACTAGATCAATACATTATAAATAGAAAGAAAAAAACTATGATCTTATAATAATAACATAACAATTTAATAATGGAAGCAAGATAATATTGAGTCACGTATAATGAGTTTAGAAGAAATCACTATTCAGTTGTTGGACCATCTTAAGTCCAAGCATTCCTATCTGTGAAATACTTTATAATAAGCTTTTTCATTATGTATTTTTAATAGTAGATTAAACTGCGTAATATCTATTTACTTTATTTTGCTTGGGACCTTATTGTAGAAGCGCACACAAAGACCCCTGAATGAATTATTAACTTTTTGCAGTCTAGTAACAAACACCGTTAATTTATTTTTATTTCCCCTCTTGGTGGTACCCCTCTTATTATTTTAAACAGACTATTTCGTAATATCCTTTATTAACATGATAGTTTTCTATCTATTTACATCCTACGTTTGCGTGGACTCAAGTTACGCCATAAATATATACAAGGTGTACAACTTTGATAGATCTAATTTTAATGCAGCATTTGAAATTTATGAATTTGTTTATCTACTTAACTTACATTCAATTCTGTTTACAAAGCCAGGTAGAAATATTGCTCTTTAGAAAAAAGGTTCCATATCATGATCGAAAATCGACATGTGCTTGATAATCCTGGGGCATTTGGCTTGATCACGGACACATTTTTTTGCATAGCGAATGCTTTTAGTGGGTGTTTCTCTAAATTTTACCTGCTACAGGTTAACAATGAGCTAACGTGCATTAGGGTTTTTATTTTTTTTGTGAAGGGATGTGCGTGACGTACCCAAGGGCGGAAGGATAGGTAGTTTGCCTTCGTTCTTTTGTCCACATTATTAGGGTATCGTGAGGAAATGCGCATATTACCTAAATAGTACGTATGAGGAGTTCCAATAATATGTTTTTTAGGTGTGAACCCAACATCAAGGAAGCGATATCTGATAATTGCCAACCTTTAACGAAATTATCAAATTGACTATTATCAAAGATTTCGATACCATCTCAAATTATTATAATGACAGGTTTGGTAAATAGTAAGTCCTTTACGGGTATCGGTAGATAACAAAAATGTTTCTAACAGCCACTTGTTACTATAATAATATTTTTGAAATAACCAAAACCCATTTCTACACAAACAGTTATAATTATCTATTGAGGGATAATCCTTAGGCTGGAAAAATTATTTAAACGTTTAAGAAAACAAACAAAAATTTTACACATTTCAAAAGATCCCGTTTAGTTTCTTCTTACAATGGGAGTTTTAAAAAATACAAACAATCACATTTTCGATGCCGTACTGTCGCACAGTTACTATTCCACCATTGTGTCCTTTGAACATGGTCGCTTTCAAATATATTGCCTTGTGTTTTTGTGTTTCTTCTTTTACATTTTTGGTAGCGTTTACATGTTTGTAGGAAACCGCCCTCGAAGCCAAGACTTAAGAACACGTGATGAATTTTAAAAAGTGTGCCTAAAGCGCCAAGCTTTATATATGGTTATGGCTACATTAGCTATGTAAGTTGGGTTGTCATGTAAATTTTATGAGTATTCTCTCCATACGAATTTGTTTGAGCGCACTCTGTTGGGATGCTATTATTCGAGAAAATTGTTATGAGATGTGTTTCGAATTTAAATTGTAATTGTGATTTATATTCTCAAGCCCGTATGTGTTTTGGGGAATTTAATGGCCTCTTTAAAATTCAATTCTCTCATTTTATTGTGTAACTTTAACCGTTACTTGAGAAAAGTAAAACAATGTCTTTTATCACTTTTTAAAATATTCACAAAGCGTTCATGTTGTGTCGAGGCCGCCATTAG